CTTTGCCATGAGCCACCGTGTCTGCTTTGTTGCGTTCATAAATCAGAGTCCTGTGCGGTGAATGTACAGCTAAGCAAAGAGGACTTGAGCAATATAGTAAATCGCTTGGTCAAGTGCTCACCCAAGCCAGGTGCTTTCATGAGGGCAAGGGGCGACAACAAAGAAACCGACTACGTAGTCTCCTCTACTTTTTGCAACACCAGTTTGGTAGACCTGCACAGAAGACACAGCTTCTTTCCGGCGACCATAAAACATGAACACGAAACACAAGACGATCAAAGGAACAAACCCATGGCCACTTTCTGGTTCAAGGGAAACACCCATGTTCATGGGAAACAAACCAATGTCATGTATATGTAGCCCCCAACTCATTTACAATGCGCTTGAAGGCGCCCTTAAGCGTGCTGTGCTAGGGCAACCTTCGCAGGCAACATGTGAAGACATGAGTCGGTTTTAAACCCCCGTTTTGTTGCTAGTTCAAAATGAAACCAGAATGTCAGAAGCGGTCTCTAATTTTGAGAAACACCCACCTGTTCCCCAAATGGAAAGGGACAAGTCCCTCCCTCGCCCCGTTTTGATGGTGACATGCGGGTGCCACAACGGCTATCCAGTGTTGCTTCGCAGGGGTTGTGAAAGTCAAAATCGCAAAATGCGTCCTTTCCTTCCGTTGGTCAAGGTGCCATCAAATACGACACTTTCAGGTTATGACTCTCATGACAATTTTCTTATAAAGCAAAAAAACACCAGCATTGACCCCAAATAACATAAAACAGGTCGAGGATTGTACACTGCTGGTTGTGCCAAATCATATCACATTCAGGGACACTTCTGTGTAGAATTGAGCGGCTTCCTGGTGTTGGAATTGAAAGAACAAAAACCTTAGGTGTTTTTGTTTGCTCCATTTGTGGGGGCGGGGCAGCATAGGTGCTTGAAGTTTGGCACCGGTTGCGAGGTTGAACAGGGTCAGGATTTGATGGAGGGGCTTCCTGCCTCAAACAGCACCCAAAGTAGCACCTGCATCAGAAACCCCATGCCTAGCCCGGCCGTCCCTCCCGCAAAAATGCGTCCCCAGCCAATCTCACAAAAATGCGCCCACCGTCACCTGCGTCTGACAGCACCTGCCCAGCACCCCAAAAAACAGCACCTGCACCAGCACCCCAAGCTGCATGCATCCTAGCACCCGGGTCACAAGCACCTCCAACAGCAACTGCACCAGCACCCCAAACTGCTTAGCACCTGGCCGAGTACCTCCAACAGCACGCCGCCCAAACGAATAAACACGCGTGCACCAACACCAGCACCTCTAACAGAACCCCAAACAGCTGCACCAGCACCCCAAACTACATGCGACCTAGCACCTGCCCTCGATCTTGCAAACATGCGCCCACACCGTCACCAGCACCTCAAAAAACACCTGCACCAGCACCTCAAACGGCACCTGCACTTACACACCCCAAACTGCACGCCCCCTAGCACCCTGCCGTCAATCTCGCAAATCACTTTCCCATTGTTATCAAAAGTTCGAACCCTATAGCTTTCAGCTATCTGGAGAAAAAGGGAACTGAAGAATCACATTTAGCAAATCAACGTTTCACGCCACCAGCAGGCTTCGTGAGGAACATTGATATCAACACGACTGCCGGTCGAACTGAGATATGTCCCTGTTCTTTTCACACATGTTTTGGTGGAATAATTGGCTAAATTTGGGTTGGCATTGTCAGATTAGAAGAACCAGAGTTGAACATGGAACTAGAACATCAGCCCAAAGAATGGAGCAAGTCTTTGGAGCCACGTTTGTCATGCTGCAAACATCGGTACATCGGTGAATGCCGTTGTCTGCAGGCTCTTGGTCGGGGTAGCCCTCGATTGTTTCAACCAGTGGATCAAGAAAACTGCGGCATCGGACCCTAAGCCAGTATTTCCTTAAACCAGGTTGGCTTCCCTTTCCTTTTGAAGCCCCGCAACCCATCCACGAGCCCGAGCTTCACAAAGCACTCGAGTCTCCCCGAAATTTGAGCTGAAAAAAAGTCCCCGTGTTCTGAACCTTGCGGACCTGACAGACCTACAGTTCCAATCCAAGGCGCCCAAAAGTGTCGGCCAGCCGGGAGCCGGAGCCCTGGTCCCAGCCTGACGAATAGTCAACCCGCGAGTCACCACACTTGGCAGGAAAATGACCTCAACACCATGGAAAGAACCAAGAGGATATGTGCCCGCAAGAGGGCACATATCCGCACCAATCACCAATTTGTGGTCCGGACTTAACCTTCACTTGCCCGGGTTTTGAGTGTGGCTCAGCAGTCAACAGCAAACCTGGAACCCTTGCGGAACCAGAGACCTGCAAGCTTTCAGCTGGGGAAGCTTTCGTGCTACACGTCTATGGACTGCCCCAAAGTAAGAGTTGGCTTCTTCTCAGGGTGGGGCCAACACTTGCGGAGAAGAGTTGTGTTCCTGTAAAAGGAGCATTTTGAAACATCGGGTCTTTGCAGAAAATCAACCTACGTCAGCTGGTAAAGTAGTGCATGCCAAGAAGTGTAGAAAAAGCCCCGGGTAATATCCCCAACAGCATCCCCAGAACCTTGCTCGCAGACTCTGCGAGCCACACGAGCGCCTAGCTGGGCAACATGTCTCGCGCTGTTCGAACCTATGTGATTTTTGATTGCTTTTAATGGGTAGTCAGTACAAGTTCCCCAACACAACAAATACGAGATGATCAAAGCTAAGCCGGCGCTAACGCGATGCTACACCAGTACGAATAAAGGAAACCCTATACCATGAAACGATCATCAATTCCAAGCCAATACTTCAGCACTAGTAAGCCGGCGCCGAACAACACGCAGCCAAAGACTCTTTCAGCGGGGCCCCATGCGAGCCCAGCATTGTTGCGCTGTTCACTCACTGCAATTGCTTGGAGGCGGGATGCCATTTGTAGCACGTGCTGTCGTTACTCAGAATTTGCAGTGGCCAAAAACACATACAAGAACGAGATGGTTCTACGATAGATTCATTGGTTGTTTGGGATCCACCCATGAATTCACAGGGGGTCTCTAATCAACCAAGTGTTGGGAGACCTTCGTAGATTTGAAGTGTGTCTCTTCCAAATAGAGAGATCCGATCCGTGTGCAACAAAGCGAAACCGCAAAGAACCCTTTATCGTCGTATTTGGGACCACCCTGTTGGAAATAAAGCTTTACCTTTTGGGACCTTTCCTTCCTCGAGCTCCGAATCCGGATGAGACCGCTGGCCACTTACTAAATATGGACCGAAATGGAAAAACAAAAAGGTAATTTGCTTTGGGCAAGCGAGATGAATCACCACAGGGCATGAGTGAATGGCTTTAGAGTTTGCAAATGGACTCCGGTGGGTTGAAAGCTGCGAATGCGCGAATGCGAAACCAGCATGCCCACCCCGCTCAGGGGCTCAACAAGACACCCGGGAATGCACATGTGGGACCCCTTGAGGTTATATGCTTGGAGTAATCACCCTTTTTGGGGTTGCTTTAAAGGCAACGATAAACGAAGCCACCCGTTTTGCGGGTGGTTCTATTTTGGCACCAACCTGCTTGGATTGCTAGTGAGTGGAAGGGGAGCACACCATTCAACAGAGATTTCAATGCCGTCCAGAAGGTTAATTCATGGTTGGAAACACTTGGATGTCACAACCATGGATCCCAACATATTGGTGCAACTTTGATCCTACCCACCGAACAACGCACCAAACACAACCCACCTTGAAACTTTGCTGGTGCTTGATCCTTGAAACCAAGCATCAATTCGTCCAGAGTCCAAACGCAATACCCAGCTTCAGATTTGAGTTGCTCCCAGGCCTTCCAAGAAATGCTTGATCCAGCGGTTCTCGATCCACGGGCCGCAATAGCCCTCCCCGCCTGAGGTCTGGAGAATTCCGAATCCCCCCCCCCAAAAGGGGTATTTTGGGACACCAGAACGGAAATCACATCCAAAAACAAGGATGTTGAGGTTTGGGTTGGGGCTATCCCTGAGCCTGAGGGTTCCTGACACACTGAGAGATATGGGCCTACAGGTAAATTAGCCTCCATGGACTCCGCCATGGACTCCCCTGGTCAACATCCCTTGGGACAAGAAATCAGGTCCCCCGCCAAACCTGTGCTTGTTGGGTTCCATGAACAGTCGAAATACAATCGCAACTTAAAATTGGCTACAACGCTAAGAGGTCTTGAACCACCTGGACACCTTGTCTTCTCGTGACGATAGGGTCCAACTCGCATCTTTGACGGATCACCATATGCAATTATTACTGAAGTTGAGACTGCATAATATAAATATATATATATATATCATATACCCATGTTGTACTTTTTTGCTGGATGCGCTGAAGGGCACGCGCATGGGTCTACAGAGCAATTACAGACGCAACGCCTTGCTTCTGGCCACTGCGGTCAGCCGCTTATATGAAGGTCAATCCCGCACGCTTTCCGGAATTTGCAGCAAACAAACAAATCAAACAAACGCGCAAGAAGACGATAGTTATTCCTACTCAAGGGTCCGCAGTCGTAGTCCTCCGCACTTTTCTGAGGTCACCTACAAATGTCCATCCTGCAACTTTCTAAGATCTAAGGATCGCGCAAAGGGAGTACAGAAGGTCGGCTGCATCGATTCCAAACCATTTTGCTTGGCGCCAGATCAAACATTAAGGCAACCTTATGGATAAATTACAAAGGCCGCTCCAGTTGGGATATTGCATGATACTGTGTCAGCATACCTCAGAAAACCGAAAATGGCAGGACACAAGCCGAAGGCGCCCGTACTATAGTAGTGATACGGCCACTGCACTGCAAATGCTGGCCAAAAATGAGCACTGCAAACGCTGGGTGCAACAGGCAGCGGAATGCTGCGGGTATAGTAAACAAAAACAACCTCTTTCCAACAAGCATGGCAAGTGGGTTCCGGGGGCTTCCCCAAAAGGAAAGCAGTCGTCCAAAACTCGTCTGCCAGCTGCTATGGTTGGATTGCGAGGTTCAGACTTCAGAGCAGGGCGCAATGGTAGGGGTTCTTCATGTCCTTCATGAACTTGTTGGCCGCATAGTCGAACCAAGGGCTCAATGCCTCGCACGTGGTTGGGCGCTTCCCGCAAAACAAAAGATCTCAAATGTCAAGGAAGCGGAAACTGCACTCGACTCCGTCCATGGCTGTGCTGAGCAAGTATCCTTTGTTTTGCCGTGGCAAGTGCCAGGAATAAAGGAAGCGATCTGAATGAGCAAGCAAACAATCGAAAACTAGAGAAGATCTCCCGGGCGTCATGTCACGCAAGTACTCAAGCCTGGAGAGGGCAGCAGTACGAATGGCTCTTGAACGGCCCAGCGAATAATGGAATCACTCGTTCGAGCCCGGTTCGCGGGCATTTCATATATTGTCTGACCATAACAAAAATATTACCCGCCAACAAGCAAGGAAGTTGCACGGGAGCCCTGCCGTTCAAGGAGGAAGCGCATGGATAGGAGCAACCACGCCACAACGCCACAACCAGCGAATTCCGAAAATGGACGTGTCTTCTTTGTGGACGTCCTCAATTGAGGAGTGCTTTTTTGGTGGTTTGAGGCCTATACACTACTTGCGTGCCGACGCGAAGGCCTACGCAAGCCTACGCGGCCTGCGAGGGGTGCCTACGCGAGCACAAGTCAGCTTCCAGGTGCCCACGCGAACGCCTACGCGGGCAAATGTTGAGTTGACGTGTCGAAGTGCACTGTGGTAGCTCCAGCTGGAAAATCGCAACTTTTCAGTACAAGGGCAGATTTGGCAGCTCCGGCTCTAAGATCAGAAATGCAGTACAAGTGGAAATCCCACATCTATCCTAGGATCTGGCTGCTAGAAAAGGTCTACGTACCCAAAATGCCTTAAAAACCTATGCAAATGCCTACACGGGGCCTACGCGCAGCCTACGCGAAGACTGCAGAACAAACAGAAGGAAGGCAAAAGAAGCAAATTCCTTTATACTTGGCAAACAGCACTGAGTCATGATTTGTTCAACAAACGCCTACGCGAAAAGTTTACGCGAGGAGTGACACAACAGCCTACGCGCTGAAGCCTACGCGAGCCTACGCCCCCAACCAGGATTGCCTCCGCAAAGTACATGCAGTTCCCTTTTTGTATAAACTCTTTCATTTGATTAAAAACCGCTGCTCAATTAGCCCAGGTTCCCCCGGCCACGTTTGGGCTCCGAGTCCGTTCCCTGCCTGGCGCACCTCCTGGAAGTGTGCCTCCGCGTCTGGGGGGTAGGCGAGGTCCAGCTGAGGCGTGGTCTGACGTAGGCATCGCAGCCTCACAAAACGCTCAAAGATCGGCTTCCCTCTAATTGCTGGTAACCGAGCCCGGTGGATTGGCGGTTAAGGAGCCGTTTCCCATGTACCTTCTACAAGAACCAGGGGTTCAAATCCCAAACCAATCCAAACCAGCAATTAGAGGGAAGCTGAAAAGACCCTGCCATGAGAAAAAAAAGGGGCACCAGCCTGTCTTCAGTACTTGGAATCGAAGGACAGCTAACACGACACCACTGAAATTCGAGGAAGAGGGGGGCGCGTGAATAACCGATACTACCCAGAAACCGAGCTGGGACTACCAAAAACCGATACAATGCCAATATTGTATGTTGATCGTAGAATCAAACAGCAAATAGTTTGGAACCTGCCTATATGTTTGTTCGAGTGCAACGCCCAACAGTAGCAAAGGGGTATATGCCCCTAGGGATCCTAATATCAGTGGGGGGGGGCGGGGGGGTCGCACCAGTGCCACAGCCACGCTTTCTCTTTACAAAATCACCAGGATCACTCGGGCCAGGTGGAGTATGACGTGGGAGATGACAATGAGGCAATTTTCCTCTCATGCATATGACCTAACGTGGACTTTACCGTATTAAAGTATGCTTCAAACCCATTCTTGCCATCTTTGGCCGCGTGTTGCAACTTCGAAAACGGGCAGGGTTTAATCGCTGACACGCTTTGCGGAAACAACCCCGTCAGAGTGCGCAAGCAAGCGAGCGCGCAAGCGAGCAACCAAGCCAACAGCATAACGAGCCCAAATAAGTACAATGGGCTTGTGGGGTACTTTAAAACCAATTTACGTCATGATATGGCATGATCATGCAAGAATGATATGCATTTTTGTCTAAGTCCTTATATCACCAGCTCATGTGGCATCGTAAATATCAACCTCCCCTGCTTCCAGGCAGCGCTGGTCCCACATCCGGTGCATCACCCGAAGAGACAGCTGCACCCGGCGAAGAGGCATCTGACTGCAATTCCAACTTCGCCTCACCAGGCGCACCGTAGGCATCAAATCTGGAAAGACGCTCCTTGTAGTCTGCACTTGCAAGCAAATATGTTCTGACATCAGAATACAAAAAGCCTGAACAGGGATTCCTTCCCAGAACGTCATGTTTTGCAAGACGTTCCCTTGCTAGAATGATCCGTACTTCGTCTGGGGGTGGTCATTGTGGGACCAGAGAAAACTCTTGATGCAAGACACAACAACCAAGTTTGACAGTGCGACCTCTGCCTTGATTGTACAGACCACGCACGACTTTTCGTTCCGCCAACACTGATATGAAGGCTTGCCTGCATTGGCCAAAAGCTATCAAACCGATCATGAAACTGACCTTTCTCCAATCCCCAACCAGGTGGTGGAACCCCCGCCTCTGAATTCAGACATTGAGCTACCTCTTTAAAACGGCTTGGGTGCGGTTTGTAAATCTCAAAAGAGTACTGACAGTGTTTGTGCAGGGAAAAGTACTGGTTTAAGCCAAAGCGCATCCAGATAAAACCTTGAGAATAATTAGCAAACCCATGATGGCCTTGCGTTAATTGACATCAAGAAAGAGATCACCAGCCAAGCAAAAAGGCGGTTGGACAGCGAGAGTAGTGCTGGCAGGAGTGTGCATTCTAGTGACAGATGATAAACTTTTCTCAATTTGTCTGCATATGCCGGCCAAATATTTTGGGGAATCGAGTAGACCGGAACCCGCCAAGGTCATTAAATCATGCACATCAACCCATCGAGCAGCAAGAGATTGACAGCCAGACTAAACCACTGCATGCAACTGTAAGTGAAGGGCGGAAGGGTGATTTGTTTTCCAAGGTTCGGCGCGGCCTTTTTGTTTTCCTAGGTTCGGCGCGGTGGTCCGGACCCAGAAAAGCAACACGCAAAAGCATGAGTAGGTTGACCAAAAGAACATCTAAACTTGTTGCTTAACTCTAAAATTGTCTTCCCAAAAAGCTTGAAGTCCAGAAATTGAGGGAGTCAAACTCTTGCCAAGGCACGCTTCCAATGCAGCGCTGCGCCTTCTCAGACCACGCGCCCCAAACACCAGCCTGGCGTCGACCGTGGAGCGTGAGCAGGGCACCAAAAACAAAGGCTTCCGAAAATGACACAACCATACCTTTCTGCCAAGGGGGTCTAAGAAAAAAACCGGCAAAGAAGCTAACACCCTCATCCAAGGTGACAGTTCTCCAGTAGCTTTCCAACGTGGAATTCCCCACTTGTTCCATGTGTGTGTGTGTGCGTGTGTGTGTGTGTGTGTGCCCTTTTCCTTTCTTGAACAACACTGCCGAGACAACAGGAGCCTTTTGCAAGGCTGACAATGGTCAAGGGTCCTGCTTAGGTGCACCTGCAGGCTGCTATGACCCGCGATCTTTGCCCGTTTGACCCCCTACAAGGTTACCTGCTGGTTTGTGGGAAAACACACATTTTCCAAAGGTGAAGGGTCCAATATGAACTTACATAAATTAAACACCAAGCTTATTTCATGGGCGTTGGACGTGAGACAATGCTGGAGAGGCGCTGAGTCACTTGCAAAAAGAAGGACTCCACAACCAGAGGAAAGGGGTGCTTGCAGAGGGCCAAATGTGGGCGATGGGGCGAGGAACACCTTGTATATATATACATATATATATATATATAAATAATTGTACACAACTTCCCGCGTCAGATTCAACAACGGCACAGAGGAGCGGATTTGCACACAGTGGCAATAGAAAAAACAAGTGGGAACCAAGGTGTAATCGGGCGCGAAGATGGACCCCCAACCAACTTCTTGAAAGGACGCAGGATCTTCCAGGGGACGTAACTTGTGATTTCGGTGGAGCGAATTTTCCCCGTGTGGCTCCAAACATGACCGTCAGAGACTACAACCCAGTCTCATGTGAGGAGGAAAGGTGCGTGTCCAACCGAAAGTCACTGGCCTTTTCCAGCTTGCCGATCTTCGCCTCGTTGGCGGCGTAGTTGGCGTGATAGGTCACTAGATCCTCGAACCACAAAGCACTCGGTGTTGGAACTGATCGGACTATGGAACCGGTAAACCCACAAACAGCACTCTGCGATGGTAATCCAGTTGATTTCTAAAACCCCGAGTGGGTTTTGATTAATTAGTGCTATGGGAATCCAGTTGCTCTGAGCTATGAAATCCCTGCTTGGTTTTGACTGCGCAACTACAAGTTTAGAGGGAATCCAGATGCCTTGGGGGCCAACATCCTCTATAATCCGCGAGCTCCGGCTGGACATTCAGTTCACACCTCCGTTTTCCTAGGCTGTTGGGAATCCAGTCAACAAGCCAACTGCAAGCAATCGCTGAAGGCTGTCTTTCCTTGGGCGCCGCTTGCACCCAGCCGATCTTGCGCTTTACCAGGGGGAACGGCTCCAAGGCGAGTGCCCTGGCAACCCTCGAGCTAAGTTTGCAATTTTTCAGGCAAGAAAGTGTGAAGCGCTCCTGTCACGCGCCGGGAGCTCGTGAGGCAGCGCGCAACCCAAGGGCCCAGCGAGCGCCATCCATCTTCAGGTGCTCAAGGCCACGGTGAGTCTCCACATGGAACTCCCCCAAAATTGGCTTTCAGTTGAACTCCCGAGAAAAACCGACCCCAAACAAAGAACCCAAAAGAAAGACAAGCCCATATTTTGTTGACCTAGGAGGCTTTGCACCGCAACGCCTGGCACAAGGGGGAACACCTGCTACCTTTGAGCGGTCAACGCTTGAAGGCAACATCACCACATGGCGAACACGCCAAAACAATGTCGCGGGCTTATTGAACGTTTTAACGAGTCCGGGTTGCCCATGTGGATTTGACAGTGCTTTCAAGATCTGCCCTGCAAAATTGATTTTCGAGCCCTAAAGGGGTTCCTTCAGAATGAGCACCCTCTCATAGTGCCTTCGCGACTCCTCAAAACTGAGGGTCCCAAAAGTTGGTGGATTTACATTTGGGTTTCCATTCAATCCATGCTGAAAACTTGGTCCAGACTCTTCAAAGCACCACATTGGTGCTACTGGTACCTTAATCGCGAAACGGTGCATCCTTTACGCCGCATAAGGATTAGTGCCAAAATGGGAGGATTGCCCAGCTCCACTGGGCAGCTCCCCTCAGCAGCTGATGGGAGTAGAATTGATGCCACTCCCACAGCGAGGGAGGAATCCTCCCACCTCACCGGATGCCCTCCCGGCATCATGGGTGAGGAAGGAAAGTAGCGAAGATCAGCTTGATCAATTCGCTTTCGACTGAGGGGAAGACCCGGTTCTCAGTCGGGAATTGCGGGTCCGGATGAGTAAGTTCATCCGCCCATGTGTTAAAGTCGCGCTTCACATGCGACGGTCCTAACATGACCTGGTGGTCATGCAGTGTTAACACAATTTCCATGAGGATGGCCGCATTGGGCATCCTGCGAGTGGAATCGTTAAGCAGGGAGAAAACGTTTCCCTGGTTATCACTAGCAACCAGAATCCTAGTGTGAGAAGCCGAGCCGGCTGCACAAAGCAGAACAGCCCTCACCAAAAGGAGGAGGCCGAAGAGCTCCAAGGCCGCTATCGCCCGCTGCGGGTCCCCAGTAGTGAAGGCCCACGGCTCGCCCTCCGGTGTGATTCTGTGTTGGAACCACTTCACTCGGGACTTGTCGGGGTTGGGCACGTCCGAGCACCAACCACCAACCCATGCATGGTCCGCCTGTTTGCCAGCTCCCGCATCAGATGCCCCCGTCCATGGAAGTGTGGGAGCAAATGGAGATGCCAGTGGGAACCTCTGGTTGAAGAGCTTCCCCAGAAGGATGGCCAGAGCACGAACCAGCTTCGGTGGCCTGCCCGAAGTGGTGCAGGCCTTCTTCCAGCTCCAAAAGGGCTGGAGGAAAGGTTTCGTCAATGGACACGCCGAAGTAGCCCATTGAATCCGGCCCAGGGCTTGTTCCACCTCCTTGCTGGTAAAGATGTCCCCCTGGGCCAGCCGTTTGAGAGTGGCCAGGATTATGACGTGCTTGACTGGAGCCAGCAGCACACAGGGCGTGATTGGGTCCACCACGAATCCCAACCAGGTATTGACCGGGGAGAGCGCCGTCTTCTTCCAAGAAAGCGGGACTCCCAGCGCCAGAAGAGTGGCCAGGATGGCTGTGGCGTCCCAGTCCGCCCTGCTGCATCTGAGGACCCAGCAGTAGTCGTCCACAAAGACTAAGTGCCAGTCCACCTGAGGGAAGATGTAGTACAAGAGTCTGAGCACCAAGGATGCCTTTCTTCCCCAGTACAGTTGTGCCGAGGCCATGCCGTACGTGCCCACTCTATTGACCCACCACCGGTTCTGGATGCAGGCCACCTGGTATTTCCAGTCTTTCTGGAGCACTTTTATGCGCCTGTGGGCCTTGGTGACATCCGCCTTGAGGATGATGAAGGTTTCCCCCTGTGTCGGCGGCTGCCACGTCAGGGGTTCCCCCCTGCTCCCCCCAGGGCGTTCCGTGCCTGGGGGGGTTGGGGGGAATGGGGCCCTCATCCGCCTGCCCCTATCAGAGCCCTCCCACCTGGGGGCAGGCTGGTGCTGTGGGGGTCCCTCTCAGGGCCCTCGGCACCTGGGGACTGCCCCTGCACCGGCTGGTGAACATCCCGAGGTTCCTCATCAGTGCCCGAGGATGGGGCTCGGAGTAGATGAGGATGGTCCGCCGCTGTCCTGAGCCAGTGGATGGCATGGAGGCAGTCTCCAACCATCGGTGCGGTGGTCTTCTCCTCCGTGTGAGCCTGGATGTGTGCGTTTGCTCCCCCTTTTGAGCCATCATAGATCGTCCTGATCTTGTCCGACTCATCAATCCCTGCATCAATCCCTGCAAGGGGGCCCGGGCAAAGTTCCTCCGGTTTGCAGCGGCACCTCTCTGCCGCCTCGGAGCGAGTGAAGGGCCCGTCCACCATGTCCAAGGCTCGTTCCTCGTAAAAGGTTGATTCGATTTTCTTGGCAAAGAGTTCAGCCGTTGGGTAGTTATCATGAGCCACGGGCGGGGGGGGATCTTCCCCCAGCCAGGCTTCTCCCTTAAGCTCCTCCTTAGTGGGCCAAACTCCCGGGGAGGTCAAGGTAGGGTCCGAGACTCCCAAGGGGACCCCCTCTTTCAGTGTTAGGGGGAACTCCCAATCAGGGTCACCTGAAAGGGATGCCAAGTGCGACACTAAGTCCAGGAGGAAGGGTTGTCCTGGGCATCGTTCATGGAGGTGCCTCGGTCCTAGGATAGCCCGCAGCTCCTCGAGGTCGGCTTCCTGGAAGGGGTGTGTGGTGGCACCTGATGCCAGGGACATTCGGACCTTGTCAATCCAGGGCCGGGTAAGGGTCATGATCAGGGCGCCCAAAGTAGCCAATGGGGAAATTCTCCGAAAAGGGGGGTTGAGCCTCCCTGGGGAAGGTTTTCCCCCCCCATCCCTCAGGGGGCGTGAGCGGAAACCCAATTGGACAATCGCCACCCGGTCAGTGAGGTGTGGGACCCTGAAAGCGGGCAGGCATTCGGGGCGGTCCAGGACCTGGTCCCCCTGTCCCTCCTTCCCCAGTTGTTCCGCATCTCCGGCCATCGGGGGCATGGGAGATGGGAAGTCTGGGTTCATTGTTCCACGAGGGCTTACGGTGTCTGCCTCAGGGTGGAACTGCCCGTGCAGGCGGGGCTTCGGGGCGTTCTTGCCTCCGGGCTTTGAGCCCTGGTGTGATGAGGAGGGACCGCCTCCTTGACTGGGCCCCCGTTTTCCCCGGGGGGAATGGCCTTCCGGGGGGTCCGACCCCCGCCCCTTAGGTGGTTCCTTGGGGTTTCCCGGAAATTGTGAGGGGATCCGGATGTGCCCCGGCGCTGCGAGTGACACAGCGATGGCTTTGGCCAGGCCTGCCATCATATCCCAAGGGTATCTGCTAAGAGTCGAGGACTCGTTGGTGCCCACATGTGACTGATGCGTGCACCGCATTTGATCCCAGTCCTGGATCGGGAGATCCGTGGCCAGCGTAGTGGCCTTCTTGACCAGCTGGCCCAGGCGGCACTGGTCGAAGGAGATTGCTGTCAAGGAGTTCTCCTCCATCCAAAGCTGCCCCTCCTCTGTGATCCAGAAGGATGAGCATTCCTTGGCTTTGGGCAGCGAGCTGCTCACCACTGGGTCCTCCGGGTGTTCCAGGAAGGACCTGGGCCCTGGCAGAGAAACCGCCGCTCGTGAGGCCCTTGCCAGGCTGGTGATGTACATCTGTCTCAGAATGAGGATGCTGTCATCATCAAGTTGAGTCTGGGCGGCCTGGTCCAGGTGTGGAAGGCCCCAAAGTGTCTCTGGAGTGCGCCCTCGCACCGGGGTGGGAGCCCCCGGTTTTGGTATGTGGCGCAGGATGGACCATGTCCTGCAGTTGGGTCCTCCTCCAATGAAGACCACTCGGCCCTGCTTTGCTGCCGTGCAAAGAGCTCCATACAGCTCGGGTTGGAGCATATCGTGGTCCCCTTTTGGTCCAGACCGTAGGATGTCTACCGCCACCACCATGCTGGAAAGGTGTGGGTAGTTGGCATGAAGACAGCTGTCCAAGGAAGTTGGGTCTTCCTTGCCTGCATAGAGCAGGACAATGATGGGCCCACTGGATGGAACTTTGGGCGATGTGCCCTGTGTCCATCTCAGCCGCTGTACCAGACGCTCAGGGATGTTCTCCATCCACGGGAAGATGTCCAATCCCGGTGACGGCTCCGTTGGACTTGTCAGGGGGGTAGCTGAAAGGCGTTGGCCCCCTTCATTCAGCCCCACCGAGCTCTTGTGGAAAACCACCGGGTCCTGCTTGATGATGTTGGGCGCCGGAAGTGGGATCGGCTGCTTCCTGGGAGTGTCCCTTGGCGTTGCGGTGTGCTGCCAGTCATCCGGCACTCGGGCCTTCTGGGTGCGGCCCCCCGTGTCAGGGCCCTCGGCACCTGCGGGGAACCGTCCCGTCCCCGCCATATCAGGGCCCTCGGCACCTGTGGCTCGGGACTGAGGCGCCGCCGTTGTGCCGGTTGTGTGGCTGTTCTGATC